GGGCAGAGAGGCACACGAGTACCTGAGTCAGAGGATAACAGGCAGGCAGAACTTGTTATGAAGTGTTTATCTCGCTTGTGTGGTTTTAGCCACTTGCTTGAGGTTGCACTGGAGCACTCCTTCGCTTCTCTCCGATGGTGATGTCCGCTATCTGGATCTGCGGCTTCACTATGCTTCTCTTGTCCTTGCGCCCCTCTGATGGCCTTGGACGCGTTTCTTTCTGATCTTTCTTCTTGCGAAGGGCTCCTATGTGCAGATCTCAAGGTGGCGAAGACCTCACGCGCGGAGTTTCAGTTATAGTTTTATGGAGACTCATGTCCTAACTCTGCACCGACTTGAGAGGGGGTGTCAGAAGTGCAAGTCGGTCCAGGGTTTAGGGTCTAGGGTTCATAGACCGACGATCCACTGATCTGTGAGACAGGACGGCTGTTGAGTCTTTGTCCGTTCCATGAGACAGGCCATGGCGGACAGGACGTCAGACAGAATGGACTGACGCATACTACATGTCCTACGTGGACTCTCCACAAAAACCACAGACCTTACGTTGCATTGACTTAATCCTTTATCCGGGACTGACCGCCGGGCAGATCCTCTCTTCACCATTCTCCCCGACTCTCTCCCACCTATTCTTACAGAAGTGACATCGTCACTTCATCGCCAAGTAGCGTAAACCGCTGCTGCTGAAATGGCGAGCTTAAAAAAGCGGATCTGCGCAATAACAAAAATGACTTACCAAGGGATCTCCCTTTGAATCGACTTGCTGCAGCGAAAAGGCGGAATTCGCTGCCCCTCTATCAGTCTCAAGATGTGCTGCCCGCAGACGTGCACCCACTCGGAAAAAGCAATGTAATTGCGTTTCACGGAGGGTGGTTATGTTTGCCGCCGGAGGCCTAAAAACCAATTAGAAATGTTCCAGTTCGTGGAAACCAGCGCACGGTTCGGGACGAACAGCGTATGTGTGAGTCGAGCGGAGGTAGGCGAGTCTCACAGTGTGGTCGGCGGTCACCGAGGCCGCTCCGTTGCGGAGAGCCGTGCGTGAAGTGTCCCTTTACGCAGATCCGAGGCAGTCAGATGGGCATCGGCAGATCGAGTGCTCAGCAGCGGTCAGGACGGTGTGATCTCTGACCGACGAGGCGGCCTCGTCGCGAAGCGAAGTGTTCAGCCAAGAAACCCTGAACCCAAGAAACCCTCCGGCCGT